GGTACCAACCGCCCTAACCGGGATTCGAACTTGCCCAGGAAACCTGGGATTCCACACCAATGACAGAGACATTGCCTCTTGGCCAAAGCGCCACTACATATATATATGTGTGTATATATAATGTGTGTATATATATATATATGTGTATATATATGTATATATATATGGAGTTAAATAGATGTTTAATAAAACTTGTGTTTCTTAAGATATTCATTAAAATGCACTGATTCTATATACCAACACCACCACCACCACTAAGATCGGTATGCGCATGATGGAACACGCGATCAAAATTACTACATTTTCTAACCTGCACTACAGGTTGAACCTTCTGTCGCTGCCCCAAAACATAGCTTTGACCTACCATTACATCCCAAATTAGAATTGTAATAAACAAGTGTTTACAATTTACGTACATGCTATGATCACAATAATGTTTAGGACTATTATTATTGTTGTTGTAGTAAATTGTATATATATTATCAGTAGTAGTGGTAAAAACTGATGATCTGTCAGATTTATTGGAAGTGACACAAAATGTCTTTTTATAATTAGGATTGTTACCAATGTAGAAAAATGCTAACAGGCTATTTTAAGTTTGTTTATGACAAACTCTGTTTAAGTTATATTTTGAGGAAAATGAACTTCTTGTCTTTGTGACGACACAGGGGGCAGCCCGGGGAGCAGTATGTGGGGATGGTATCATGCTCAGTGCACCTTAGTAGTACCTTAGCCCCTGGTGGACTTGAATCTGAAACCTTTCGGGCCAGACACCACTTCCTTAACCACCAAGCCAGCACTGCCCCACCACATGACATAATGAGTGTTGCTTAGGTCAACCCACATCACTAAGCAGATCACTAAGCAGATAAAACATCTTACGAAAACTTGTCGAGGTTCATTTTGACAGGCATGGCCCAATTTGCTAATGACACTAAGCTGTGTGCTCATACGTAGAGCCTGAGTTTCAGTGTAGGCCACTGAAGTCTGTTACATTTAATACAACAATGTATTAACAATGGGTTCAGGCTCAACCTTCAGCAATATTCAGTCAGGATTTCAACGCAACACCCACAATTCTAAATAGCCAAAGATAAGCCAAGAATGTGAAAAAGGAGACATAATAACTGAGAAGTCTGTCCAGCTTCGGTGATATATGGTTGGTAACAAGGTGTCAGTGTGAGGAGTCAGTTTACAGTGTTCATAAATGATTCAGACTAAATGCTTGTGTTTCCACCGTCACGTCTTCTCACCCATTGCTGTTATCATGCTGTCACAGTATGTGACCTTGTTTTAAGGCAAGTTGAAGTATTTAAATAGTAGAGCGATATATACAAACACGCATATTTTTATATAAACTGAAATATATTAAATATATATTTGATTTATAAAATGTTAATGTAAAAATATATTAAAACATAGCTAAACGTCACAGTGGATAGAAGAGGCGTGCGCGCACCCTTTCTGTGTGGTAAAGTTTTAGATTGGAAGATGGAAATACTGTAGTGCTACACTGAATCTTTCCGACTGGCAGAAAGACACTTTTATTCTGTTAGTGATCTGTTGCCATAGCTTTCAACAATACTTTGTTGCAGTGAAGAAGTGTCGCTAACAACATTGAAAAATAACTTATTCAAAATAAGGTTATCAGTCTGTTTTGCTTAGTGTAGCAATACATTAGTTGACTAATGAGGTCAGAAAATGAATTATTAAAAAGGTCAGGAAATGTGTTTATTAAGTGTTGGTGGGTTGTGAAGTGCTAAAAAATTCAAAAGACACGAAAGAATTCGGCAACCAATCAGCAATCAGCATTCACGAACAACCAATCCAGACAGCTTAATCGGAGACTGTTGAACAGTAGTCACAATTTGTGTAGTCTAATCACGAATGTAATTTTGAAAATCGCATCCATTTTGTCTCAGCGGGAGGAGGAGGAGAGAACAGTTAGGATGAGCGCTAGCAAAAGATGGATTATCAATACGAAAAAAGGTGTTTCAGGGACCACTGCGTCCAGTCGCTGGAGGACTGAGAGCAAGTTAGCCAGAGCAGCTACGTTGACATCGATGTCTGCGATCTATTTTAATTTGACTTATGGTACCGATGTGCTGTACTCCCCCTTCACCAGTTAGAACTGAAGAAGACTCTTGGATGAGAGACGAAACGTCTCTCATCCAAGGCAACTCTTTAACCTTAACCATGGACCTGGATGACTGAGAATCTTCATAGACCGATTGTCTTCCATAGTTTTGCAGGTATTTTTTGTTTCAGCAGAATGGGCTGTTAGATTACAGCTGCACTCCTATTGTCACAGAAATGACTTGGCATCTCTCTAGGGTCGTATGATTGCTAAATAAAAACTGTATGGCAGAACCATGTCATTTTACTGTGCCATTGAACAGCTGGAGGATGTTCCATTTTCCCAAAGTTTATTTGAGTGATAACATGTTTTATTTCTATTAAGCCTATGTTGTGAAGGGCACTCAGAATTTCCTTTGAAATGGCACGTCAATTAAGGTTATATTAAATGTTTTCTTAAAATTGAATTTTTTTTTTAATTTAAAGTTTTTTTTGTGCCACATTATTTTGTTATTTGTTGTTATTTTCTATAACAAAAAGAAAAAAAATGTTATTTTAAATACCAGTGCATCCCTAGTAATTATGTTATGATTGTTCTGATCTCAGTATTAATTAGCCCACTAATTAGGCTATATGTGGCTCCTAGATCAAAGCGATCCTTTAAAGGATCATCTTTATTCCTTTAGCCTCACCAACCACTTCTCCACTGTGTTAAAACAGACAGAGGGAAAATCAGCGCGGCTCTGACCACATGCCTTTGTATAACAATTACAGTCGTACATGAGGAGAAAATACAATCACACTTGGACATTGGACCAGATATATTATTTAATTTAACGCAGAGACCCACTATGTTAGCAGCTTACATGAAACAAACTGGAATATAAAAATAACCTGCGTGGGGGAAAAAATACTGTTTTCAATTTCAATCGTAAAGGCTGTTACTACTATGGACTTATGTTACATCTGTTATAACCTGAGACTTTATGGTATATACTGTGTGACTATTTTATTAAATAAGCAATGGTGCACATTCACAATCCCACAGGAAGATCGGCACAAAATAGTACCATTCAGAATTCAGGATCTTCAGGTTAAATCATTCGACAGGGTTTACAGTGCTGGTTCACTTTTCCTTATCGCTGGTCACCATGGTAACAAAAACTGATCTCCTAACATGCTGCAGAGCATTTGGCCATCAGAAGAAATAAAAGATGGCTAGTTTATTTCATTTTTTTTTCCTGCATGAACTAGTTATTTAATTAGGGGACTTGAACTTATGGGTATATTTTTATTGTATTAATTACTGGAAGAACTGAGCTGACAGTACGTTGTTTAGCAGTCTGTAGCAAAGCTTAGAGACACCCTTTCAAATATACATGACTATATTTTCTTACATGGATATTGGAAGGATGGTGTGTCTTTCAGTGGAGCAAAAAATGCCTCCAATACACAGTATGAGAACAGGATGACTTGAACTACTAGTTATCTCTTGCACATTCACTTTGTGTCTGCCGTCACAAAAAAATGTTGGGTTTTTTTTTCATAAATTGATCACAATTTTATTGGTAAATTATTTATTTGCATGCTATTTTTTTGTTTTTGTTGCTGCTTTAACTTGTCAGAAACATGTCAGTTTTCATGGCAATAATTTACTAACACCTTTTGATCATGCAATCTCTTGCATCTGGGCTGAGCATCCACAATGCTTTAACATTAAAGTTATCTTTAATTATTACGTTAGCCTACTAATATAGCAATAATGTATTACTTGGAGTATTACACGTATACTACAATCAATAGTATTTAATAACAATTAAATATCTGAAGGAGTTCTTGGCAAATTGAGTGGCTTCAATGAATAAAGTAACAACACAGACAAACACAGTTAACAAAAATAATTAAATTTATTTATACAACACTGTCAAGTTAATGACGGTGATTGAACACATACACAATGATCATAACAACAAAACAAGGCATAAGTGTGTGTGTAGGTGTGTGTGTGTGCACTTGTGTGCGTGTGTACACGAGTGGTCGTATAAGAGAGAGAAAGAGAGAGATGTTGCTAGTTGCTAGTAGTGATGTGTCGTTCGCGAGTGATTCGTTGAAAAATAATTTTACTTTTATATATCTCGTGACTCCCGAGTCATATGAAAGATTTGTGACTAGTGACTAGCGAGTCATATTAAATATTTGTTCATATTGAACTCACGAATCACTCACAAATCACTCTCTGTATATAGTTCAGGTGGAGCTATTGATTATCTTAAGGAGGTCTTATCTGTTGATAGACCCTCCAGCACATTGTTTCCCAAAGACTGGGTCGTGACTCTCAGGTAGGTCGCAACAGATGGGGTCGTCTCGCATCATGTTTCCCAGGAGTTTACAAATAATGTCTATGTCTAAAGTTTGGGTAACACTGATCTAGCAATCCAAAGGTCATCCACCACATTGAGCTCTTGTCTGAGCTGTACACAGCAGACAGAGGTTCTAGCTTGACTCAGACTTACCTAAGTGAGCTGAAAGATGTTGCTCAGCTAAGCGGAGTTTTTTATTTCAAGAACTGCTAAGGGCGCTACATAAATTTTTGCAATATGTACTATGTAATATGTACTATGTAATTGTATGTATGTTACGATTTATGTCAATTTATGTCGCTGCCAAGAACTGAACATCGACAAAAGGACTCCCAGTATTAATACAGACACATGAGAGCTAAAATGGTGCTTCTACAAAATACTGAGCAAATGGTCTAAGTACTTATGACCATGTGATTTTTCAGTTTTTCTTTTTTAATACATCTGGAAAAATGGCTGTGTTTTTCTGTCAATATGGGGTGCTGTGTGTATATTAATGAGGAAAACAAATGAACTTATATGATAAGGGGGTCTAAATACTTTCTTACCCACTGTATGTGTGTGTGTGTGTGTACACTTATGCATGTTTTTCTAATATAGGGTTTTGTAGTTCCAAATATAAAACCACAGTAGGAGTGCTGTATATCAAATGAACAGCAGTATTCCAACACGAGCTATACTTCAGGGCTTGTTGTGATTGGCCATTTCCAAATTCTGCAAAGATTCAACACATTGTAGGCTTCATCGGTTTCATCGCATCATTGATAACTTTAGTAACAATAAGGGTTATAAAATGAATATGTAATATGCATTTCTACATCACATCACACTTATGACCAAAATAACACAACTAGAAAACTACTAGTGTTCCCTCTTACATCAACCAGAAACTGATGAAGGTCCTCCGTTGAGGAGCGAAGCGTCTTTCAAGCTCCAAGAAGAAGTTCAGTTGCTTACAACTAAACTCTTTGGATAATATGACCTGGGTGAATGAGAATAAGAGAGATTAAAAGCTCTGCTCACTTTCTGTTCAGTGATGTAGAAAGTTCAACTTACTATGTCTAAGATTGGTTGCTCTTTAGATTGAAAAAGCCTGTTGTTAATGAGAGGGGAAAAGGTGGCTGCTGGTTCAAGTCCACCAACTGCCAAGTTACCACTGAGGTGCTTTGAGCATGGCACCGTCCCCACACACTGCTCCCCGGGTGCTTATAAGCTGCCCACTGTTCACTTTGGTGATGAGTTACATCAGGGTCACATTTCGTTGTGTGTGCAGTGGTGTGCTGTGTCACAATGACGAATAATTCACTTTCACTACACGTACATCTCTTTAGAAATGTGAACACCTAAAATGCAAAAAGAATTTCGATCAACTGTTAAAATAAACATATCTATAGTAGTTTAGTTAAACATTAATATGTTGTGCTTTTCTGTGCATAAGTTCTTACCTTTAAAATCTCCTATAAAAGATAACTCTCTTTGGTTCAGTTTTACTGAGATCTTTTCTACCTTTGCGTCACCCATTGCTTTTTTATTTATCTAAGAAGAAAATGAATCACATTTAACTAAAGGAAATGTTACCAAATTAAATAATCAAAAACAAACTATTTATGAACTTTAAGAAACAGTTTTTTTTATTACTAACCGTTGTGTCTACACTGACAAAACCCGAGAGTTTTCCTGTCCTATGATCAACGTTCTCACAATTTCCTAGCTTAAAGAAAACCATTATGCAATTTCCATTTATTAATATTGAGCATTTAATTGTGTACCTCCAGAATCATCTGGCTGCAGTAAACTGTTCTCATTACCTGTGAATTGTGATGAGCCCTCATTTGCTCTGATTTATGGGGAGGTCTTCCAACAGTCATAAACTGATTCTCTTGTTTCTTTTTGCAGCAGCAAAAGACAGCTGTGTCTGTGATGATGGCGACGATGACCATTGCTGGACAGAACAATGCTACCGCCATCAGTGCTGATGTAGATCGAAAATGGTGACTGGATCCTCCAACTTTTACTGTGTTTTGAGTACCATCTGTGGTTCTTGTTGTATTTAGAGGTAATGACATCTTAGGTTCTGGCTGAGGAAAGTCACTTTCTTTGTTGACTTTAATTAATCTACTGACTTTTCTTCCTCCCATTTTCTGTGACAATGAGATCCCATATTCTGGCTCATGGATCTGATTTAACCATTGACCTTTAATTGTGGTGAGATTACTCACTGCAGTTCCTGCCTTGCTTGGTGAAAAGGCCTCAGTTTTAGGAATGGGTCGTATTCCAATACCCATTGCTGTAAATTGATTAATCCCTACTGTTCTGACAGTGTTATCTTTCTTATAAGGATAGGATAGAAGGAGTTCACAGTTTTTCTGACTTCTTCCAATATTGTTTTTAGCAGCACATTGGAAGGTTCTTAAGTCGATTTCTGTGATGTTTTTTATATACAAGTAACCATGGAATCCAAATTTAGTGCTGTGTGGCAAATGTTCAGACATTTTTTCCCATTTTGAAATCCATAAATGAGATCCTGGTAAGATTCTGCACTTTAGTTTTAGATCCCTGCCTACCTCAAAGTCATTAGACAGACCACAAAGTGGTTTGGATATCTTCTCCATTATTGTTAGGTACACTTTCTTGGTTTGCAGTCTGCTAGGATTTCTCACCTTAAGTTTGTATATGCCTGAATTAGTAATTCTGAGGTCACTTAGGGTTAAAGAAGCATCAGTGTCTCTAGGATTTAGAGAAGAAAAATGTATCCTGATTTGAAAACACATATTTCGATGACCAGTTGTGTCATTTAAAAAAGAGATTATGTTTTCTGCCATTAGTCCGCCTGCAGGACTGAAGATCCATTCAATTAACAAAGCACCCATGTGAAACGGAACTGGGGTGAACTGACATCCATGGCTAATGTTTTCTCCTGTAGCCACATTGTAGTTAGACAAATTGCTATTTGTCTTTAGGCCAATGGTGGATGTCATTATCCCTGCCATCATAAAAAAAGACCAAAACCATTTAATGAATTTCGGTCTCTTTCTTGAAGATTTGTTGCCCATTTCTGAAGAGCAAAATTATGGAAAAATTAAGTAAGCACACTTATAAAGCTGCAAAAATAATGTAGTTATATAATATAATTACATGCACTTGAAAGTAAGTAATGTCGATAATGTCTATTATATGTGGCATTTTGGTATCTTGATGGGTCAATTACGCTGTATTTGGCAGCTGATTTTAGTGTCCTTGCCTGTTGTGTTTAAAATTTGTGTGGTTGGTACATAAAAATGTTATTTGACCTTAACTTTGTGTCTTTACTGGCCTTATCTTGCATTCTCTTTTCTACTCTTCCTTCTTTTACAGAGATTGACAAATGTGTTAGCCTTTTGCCATTTGTTATTTGTAACTTTTGTAAAATTTTTGCCCTTAAAATTCATCAAAGGAATTTTATCATCATGCAAACACAGATATAGATCAAAGGCAGTCATAAATAATGATGTAAAAACTGGGGGGCCAAGATATACAGTATTTGTTGTTACTAGTGATGGGTCTTTTTACTGACTCGGCTCTTTTACTTTTAATTGAATGAATCTTGAGTGAGTCATTTCGTTCATTTTTTACAGCAGGTGGTGCTGTAGCCCTCATCCAGGCATTGTAAAGAAGGCCGCCGTTCTCAAAACACTAAACACTCAAGGCAACATGGTTTGCTTCAGCTAACAAAGTATCATACATAAAATGCCACATGCAATTCAAACCATGTGAAAACCTAAGAAAGAAAATACACACTACAATAAAGTGACTTGTGTCCTGCATCCTCCCTGCCATTGTTGTTTAAGTGCAACAATAACTAGGTAGCTGTCACGTGACAAATGAACGAGATCCGAGAACGAATGTACTGCTCGCCACGCGATAAATGGAACGAGACATGTGAACGGGTTGGATGAACGAGAAACAAAAAGACCCGTTTAGTTCGAGCTGCCTGTCCCATGACAAATGAACGGGTCAGATGAACGAGCATGAAAAAGACCCGTTAAGTTCAAGCTGCCTGTCAACTGGTAGAGGACAAGTGAATGGAAAACAATTGACAATTAATGAGACAATTAAAACAAAAAGTAACAATAAGTTCCCTAAAATGTTTACACGGTGCATTTATTGTGTCCAAAATATGACATTATTATTAGTAGTAGTATTATTAATATTGTTGTTGTTGTGTACTGAAATTATAAAATGTTAAGTAGTCTTTCCCCAGGTGCAGTGGTGGCTTAGCCCTGAGCATGGCACTATTCCCACACACTGCTCACTGTTCACGTTGGTGATGGGTTAAAAACAGAGGTCACATTTCGTTGTGTGTGCAGTGTGCTGTGTCACAATGACAAATAATTCACTTTCACTTTCAAAGATTTCATACCATATTTACCTTGACATTTAACATCCATCCATCCATCCATCCATCCATTTGCATTCGCTTATCCGTTACCGGGTCGCCACCCAAATCACATTGCACCGTACAAACCCCCCAAACCTTCCTGCAGGTGGTGAGTCCACTGGAAGGTACCAACCGCCCTAGCTGGGATTTGATCTTGCCCAGGAGGTGAACCCTGGGGTTCCACACCAATGACAGGGACATTGCCTCTGGGCCAAAGCGCCACTGACAGTTAACAGTTTATCTAAAATTACATAGTGATGCACAAATATTTATAGACTTCAGTGAAGATGGGGATATAATTCATTGTCACATCAAATTGAACAGCAGCAATGGTACAACCAACCAAAATTGTGTTTTGTTAAATCAGTCATAAATAATGATGTAAAAACTGGAGAGCCAAGATATACATGAGAAAGACACTCATGACATGACATCATCGACACCAACATCATTATTATACTTTCATGTGTATAAAAGGTTTAAAGACCCTGGATTGGCCACAGGGTTAATAGAATGCTAGCTTTTGTAAAGCTTTCGTTCGTGGTGTCAAAGTCATAATACATGATAACACTCAATAACAATAAAATAACAAGTTGAAACCAGCTTTTTAATACGGCAACTTTTTTTATATTATTTTCACATTTTGGATTTCCATTTGTGTCCTTCATTTTTCTTACTAAAAACCCTTATTATGGAAGAAAGAAATTTAGATCAAGAAGAGCGTAAGAAGAGTGTAAGCTCTTTTTCATCTGACGATGACTATAATGAATCACTAGGGGATTCTGATGATGCTGATGATATCAGTGAGGAGGAGTCTGACAATGAGGAATCGGACAGTTTGTCTCAGGAAACAGATCTGCAGAGTCCACTGACTAAATTCTTGGAGGACATTCAAAATGGGGTTGATACTAGAGAGTCAGTGCGAAGAAGAGAAATTGATGATGTTTGCAAAATTAGACTGGAATTACTGGGACAATATTTAAGGTCTAGCCATGAAAAATTTGAAGATCTCCTGAGAGGCTGGTCATTGGCTAAAGAGAAAGTAAGTAGTCCCCAGGAGCTACGACTAGCTTTGAGAAGTCAGCAGCAGCTGGTGGTGCAGCTATTAGAAGAAAAAAAGAAAATCATAAATGATCTTCAGTGGGACCTGATGCTTGCAGGTGATCACTTTGTCAAAGACCTTATGACACAGACAGAGGAAAGGGACCAAATGATGGAAAAGATGGATGATCAGATTAGAAATCTGATCGAAAGGTACAGAAGCAATCTCACCAACACTGAGAATAGTAACCAGGAGAACAATGCAACCATACATGCAACAGCTCGGCAGGAATGGGAACGACAACAGAAGGAATTCTACGCTGCAGAGCTAGAGATGCTGACAGAAAGGAGGAAACAAGTTACCAACTATGATGAGAAAATACAATGTCTTATACTTGAGAACATGGAAACACAAGCCATGGTCAAGATAGAGCAGGATGCAAACCTGCAGCTACTGGTGAGAGAGCATCAAAAAATACGTGCTAGCTATACAATGACCAGTCTTAAAAAGACAAATGAAAGGTATGATTTGGAGGCCCATCAGAATACGAGGATTGCCGGTTTACAGACTGAGAATGATGACCAAAGCCATGACCCAGAACAAGCCAATCAGACGGTCAAGAGGATTAGGTATTTGTCGAAAAACTATCAATATAACATTAAACAATATGAGCATCTACAGGGAAAAACAAAAAACATTGCAGTGGCTGATGAAAAGACATATGAGGAAATGGTGGAAACTGTAGAAGAAGAGGTCAAACAATTAGTTGACAAGGCTTTAGAAATTGACTCACTTATATGCAAGTGGTACCAAGGCATACCTTGGAAACGACCCGTGGTGGCCTTCACAGAAATCCCAGATGAGACACTTGAAAAAGTGAGGGAGATGCTGTTGGATGAAGCAGGCATTTTAGTCGACGAAGACATGGATGAGGATGAGAAGTGGGAGTCTCTACTTACAACTTGTTGCATCAGTGAAATGGATTTGCCTAAGGTGGCCAACTATTTCATAAAATATAGCCAAAGAGAAGCAGGAGAACTGTGTGGTCCACTTGGTAAATCTTGTGCCAAAACAGCAGCAGCATTGGGAACCAGGTCTACATCTTTCCTGACGGCAGACCTTATCAATCCTAATTATATCCTGCCTGCTCTTAAAAGTTTTATCAAGCAAGATGTGACCTATCTAGTGATCATGGGTCAACAAGCAAGGGACAAAGAGTTTTGGGAAAGTTTGGGCAACATTGTCTGTGAAGAGAAAGTCAAACTCTGGGAAGAAATAGAAAGGACTTTAAAGCAGTACCTTGAGGTCCTTAAGGAGGTTTACAAGCTTACTCCTGAGGTTGACATTCTGAGGCGGCAGAACACAGAGCTAAGGATGCAGCTTCAAAAATCTCCCAGCATCAGGAGCAACTCAGAAATAATGAAGTAATGAAAAATCACATTGTTTACGACAAACAAATAATTATATAAATATATTTGTGGCTTGAACACAGCGATTTTAGTTAGCATTGAAAACAGAAAACCTAACTATCCATGTATTCTCTAAGTATTTTTATTTGTTTTTATCCTAAAACATTTAGGTTAAACATTAGGTCAGTTGAATACTTGACTATAGCAGTAGTCCCCAACCTTTTTGTACCAAGGACGCAGTACTGTCTGTTACTGTTGACCGGTACCATGC